TTCGCAAAGCTGAAGACTGTGGGTTTCTGGGCATGATAGGGTCATTAGACTGCATGCATTGGGATTGGAAGAATTGTCCCACCAGATGGTAAGAGGCTTTAGCGGAAGGTCGAGAAAGCCAACTGTTGTGTTAGAGGCAGTTGCCTCATATGACACATGGATTTGGCATGCTTTCTTTGGAGTCCCTGGATCCCAAAATGACATTACAGTTCTTGGGCGTTCACCCCTTTTCAATAACTTGACGGAAGGTAAAACACCTTAACTTCACTACTACATCAACAACCGTCAATACAATGTGGGGTATTACTTAGCAGATTGCATTTACCCAAAGTGGCCAACACTTGTCTAAGCAATTCCAAACCCTAGGAATGATGCAGAAAGGTTGTTTACCTTACACCAAGAGACATACCGGAAAGATGTTGAGAGAGCTTTTGGTATTTTACAAGCACGGTGGAAGATTATTAGCGAACCAGCAAGAGGTGGAGTCGAGAAAATTTGGACTCCATCATGATGTCTTGCATCATATTACACAATATGATAGTGGAGGATGAGCGAGATGAGTATATTGATGGAGAGTCCGATGACGACCAAGAAGATCCATATAGGTCAAGAAGGGCTCGTGCAAAAATATATGATGGGCCTAATTTGCTTTCAATCCAAGAACTGGTAGTATCTCTATAAATGAGTACATGAGGCGCTATAGAATGATACGTTCTCGTGTCACAAACAAGTACCTACAACATGATCTTGTTGCACATCTTTGGGCCAAAATAAGCATGGAGTAGGCGTTTACGTTTTATGTTGTTAAATGTTTTTTAAAATGTTGTTTAAGTTTCATGTTGTTAAATGTTTTTTTTTTATGTTGTATAATTTGTATGTTGGTTAATGTTATTTATTGTTATTTCATATCGTTTAATGTTGTTTCATGTTACTTAATTCAATTTAATGTTGTATAATGGCTTAGGAAGTTATAGGAAAAAAATATAATTTAAAAAAAAATATGAAACAAATTTTGTGAAATAGAAGTTATAGGATAAAAATAGAATTTAAAGTAAAATAAAGCAACTATGTGAAATAGAAGTTTTAGGAAAAAAATGGAATTTAAAAAAAAATTAAACAAATTTTGTAAAATAAAAGTTATAGGAAAAAATAGAATTTAAAAAAAATATTAAAAATAGAAGTTATAGGAAAAATTTTGTAAATAAAAAAAATAAAACTATCAAAAAAAAAATTTAAATGCAACGGCTAGCTGACGTCAGTTAGCGGTTGCATTTGAATTTTTTTCTTAAGCATTCCTATTGGTTAACCGACAGGAATACATTTATATTAAATAATATTCCTCACGGTTATAACCGACAGGAAAACTGAATTTTCTGGCCAGCCCTCTAGCCCTCTCCGATTCCGTGGGGCCCTCTCATGTTCCAGAGCCCTCTGGCCTCACTCTCGGTTGGAGACGATTTTTGGGCTATTTTCAACCCTCCAGCCCTCTGGACCCTTCGGTTAGAGATGGCCTTACAGAGGTGTCTGAATTGAGGGGGTTCACAGAAAGGGAAAAAGAAGGAAGATAAGAGAGAAAATAAATCTGAAATTTACTTCTCTTGTATGCAAAAGTTTTGCCCACAAAAAAGCTATTTATCATTGAAATAAAAAATAAAAAGTTATTCTTCTTCTTTGTAGATACCACTTAGAACTACGATCTATTGTTATTTATCTTCACTTATAAGTGAGAGGTCTTAGGTTCGATTCTCACCAAAGACAAATTTGAACCACATCATTGCTAGCCCATTACGAGGTTAAGCCCACCCCCTCCCCTTAGAGCATCCCCAATGAGGAGGTATATATGGAGCTGAAAAAGTAGTGGATATAACCCATTTTAGAGCTTTGCGGAATCTTTAGGATTTTATAAAATAATCTTTCTCAACGAGGGGCTATTTCTTTCAGGCTATATATATATATATATATCTATTTATGTAGTAATTTGATTATGTGATTTTTTTTTTGTTGACTTTTCTTAAGTTAATTTTTGGACATGCTATCTTAATTTTTTTTTCATGAACCTTTCAACCTAAAAAGTTCAAATTGTGACAAAGTGAGATTTCATCACTTATGAATAGTTCGTTAAATTAGATTCTCTTATCTCAATCTCATCCGTTGAAAAAAACAAACCTCCACTTCGCCCTCTGAAATAATTGATTTTCACATACAACACAACAATTTACCTAGCACCAATTGGTAAATTAGTATCATACAATTTTGAAAAAAAATTATTTGAAAATTTCACCCACCAATGCCTTGAACGTTAAATCAAATTGCAAGTTTAATTCTTATGGAATTTAAAACAATCATTAATTAGCCAAATTGCAAGAAAAATAAGTAAGAAAAAAGAATAAAATAAGACAATAGGTGTATTCACAAGTGAAGCCGTGAAGGGAGAGTGATAGAATTTTGCTCAATAGGTTGCTATTTTTTTGTGGGACCCATTGTTTGTTGGGGCTTGATGTAGCCCAATTTTATGTTACCAAAGAAAGGAAGTTGTTAGCCCCAGTGGTGGATTTAACCCCATTTTCCGGCTCATTGGGAATGAAATTTCTCATTAAGGCTTGAAATGTAGTAACCTCATGGAGGATTCATTGTGGATGCTCTTAGTGTGGATAATATCGTGGATTAAGTCCAAAAACTCTTTCAGCATTTTAAAAGCACTTTTATACAAGCTCTTATTTTTGCTAGTTCTACTTCTACTTGAAGTAATAGTCATGAACTCATTTTCGACCCAAAAAAAAATAGTTGTGGACTCATGGGGGACAAGTGTTTTGTTAGAATTTGTTCATGTGCAGAGCCGGCCTTAAGGGTGTAAAGTGGTGTCACTGCACATAGCCCCAATTATGATTTTATGTTACCTGTATATATAGTATATATATTTAAATTTGCAATGACATACCAAATTTTCTCGCAATGCAATTGTCTTCAGCGTCCATGTACCATAAAACACATGACACCACCTCCAATCTAAATGTTAAAAACAATTCCGTAACTACATAGTTACACAATTATACAAGTATATAATTACAATCGTACAATTATAGAAGGGTGGTGGTATCCAAACACTCATTTTAACCTCTCACACATCCATTGTTTATTGATCTTCTTCAATTCTTTCAATTTGGTAGCACTGCTTTGATAGAATTGCACAATTGTGTATTACAGAACGATGTGTAGTTTAGCTCGTCTGGCCCTACATCTACTTCTAGTGTAATCACAAAACTTCGTGTGTGTGTGCATGCGCCAAATTGCCTACTCTTCTTCATTAATATTTATCGTATTTTCTTTACAAAAATGACATATTATACGATTGCAAAGTTACACAATTAGGCCACATGAAAATGATGCAAAATGTAAGAAAGAAAAACAAAGAAACTCCCTCATGAGAGCGTAGCCTAGGTGGAGGAATTAAGAGATGAAGATGATAGTAGAATGCTCCACTAAGGCTCGTGAGGAAGAGCTGGAAATCATACAACTCTAAATTAAAACAACAAAAGTAGGAGGTGAAAAAAAAAAACACGACAAAGAAGAGGATTACATGCACCGGAGGGAGAAATTATAGGCTTTGAGGCGTTAATTTAGGGGTTTTTTTTTTTTTTTTTTACATATTTCTGATAAAAAATTTCTCGGTCAAGTAGTTCTATTTTTTTTTTTTGTCAAATTATAGATTTTGTTAGATTAGCCACTAACAAGATTTAAACTCACATAGTACAAGAGCTTAACACTTTTCTACCACTGTAGTAAATGATCACTCTTAGACAACTAGTTTTAAACAGTTGTAACATTAAGCTTTGCATGAATATTATTATTTTTTTTAATAAAGGACATTTTTTTTTTTTTATCAAAACAAACGGTATTTTTTACTTTAAGAAAAATGATTTCTGACCCCAACGCTTTTCACTCGCACTTTCATCTCTGCAGCTGAAAATTTTCTCCCGCAGCTGCTCCGACTCGGAAACCAAGACTAACGCTAAGTGATGGGCCTGATGGCTATGCTGCTTGTAACACTTTACGAGATACTGTTTTTGATAGTAGCGTGGCCATTATTGAGTGTATGATCCTTAGATTTTGAAATCTGGGCTTCCGAGTCTTATCAAAATCTAACGAAGGAATCCATTATTAAGCGTAGATGTTTTTTGAAATCTGGGGTATGCTGCTAGTAACACTTTCTTTCTTCTCTTTTGTGTCAAAAATTCAGTCAGTGAGCTTTAATATGTTAAGATAGTAAGGATTGGCATATGTTTGAAGTTCAACTGTTAATGTGCTTTAGTATTGTTTATTTATTTAGCTTAAGTACCTTTTACATATAAAAAGACGTATGAGAATGTGAAGTATCGTCTCACATCTAAATAAATTACTTCAAATTATGAATTTACTAAATTTGAAGGGAACTTATTTACGCAAGCTCTGCACTTCTACTTGATACTCATAGTCATGGACTAATGGGGTACAAGATTTTTGTGAGATTTTGGTCATGTGTACACCACGAGCCCTAATCTAACGATATCTGCTTTTGAAGGGACAAGTTCTACGGCTCATGTAACTACTCACTGACCAAACAAGTTCACGGTTGCGTGGCCCAAATATTAGCCAACTGAAGCCCAAAATCATGACTGGCTCATCTTCCATTGCAGAGGCCCAAATTGTTGAGCAAGTTTATGGTTTATGGAACTTACACAACTTGGAACTCTTCTACAAGAATAACTTGAATATGACAAATAACTGATGTGAAGTGTTATCGATATAAAATAAAAAATGAAGGGATCTTCTTTGTAAGAATTTCGAAAATTCTCTAATCAAATCGTTCATCGTATTCGTCAAGTACTGTTTATATTTAATTTTAAATAAAAAAACTTTACAATAATTTCTGATCATACGATATACGATAATAACATCAAATAGAATCTGAAGAACGATTTGAAGAGAATCTGAAGAAGATCCTCGCTCTAAAATAAGTATGCACTACAGTAATAATAACATCAAATAGCTCACAAAATTTTTAGCATCATCCATTACAAAAACAAGAACATCAAATTGAGTTTAAAAAGATGATCATAAAATTCTCTTAATACAACCCCAAAACTCAGAAACCAAAATTAAGATTGAACAAAGAAAATGGTCATCACTCAACTCAACTAACATTGATGTCCAAAATCTTGGAAGTAATGGAAGCCTTCGGAATAGTAATATACAAGACCCCATCTTTAACCTCAGCCTTGATCTCCTCAAACTGAATTTTCTCCGGTAACGCAATCCTACTGCTGTACCTCCCATAGCTCTTGGCAGACCACTCCTCACCGTTTTCTTCCACCACCGCCCCATTCTCCGTCTTCTTGGCCGCCTTCTCAGCCTTCACAACCAGCATTTTATCCTCCACCCACACCTTCACGTCCTTTTTCGTCATCCCCGGCATGTCGAATCTCATCTTGTAATCACTCTCCCCTTCTTTGATCTCCCATGGCGTCCTTCCCCTGCCGTACACTCCTGCCTCGCTTGGCAATGGCGTCGTGTACCCGCCAGAGTAGGCCAACGGGTCCTCCATCATCCTCTCCATTGTTTCCATCATCTGCTGCACCGTCCTCGCCGTCGGAAACCGATCCCACAACCCTGCCAAATATCAATTTGTTATTCAATTAAACTATTCAAACCCAGGGCATGTCTGAGAGACTGTTTCTGAAAATGCTAAATTCATCACCAAAAATAATTATGACTTAATTTAGGGCATGTCTGAGTGACTGTTTCCAATGTAAAAGCTACTGGCATAAGCACTTACGAACAGAAGTACTTACCACGCAAGCAATCTTAAGCAAGTCCAAGAAGCTTAAAAGTTTGAGGGGGGGAACTCGAACTTACCGATGGGTGGCGCTGGGGCAGCTCTCTTTCTAGGCTGGGCTTCTTGTTGTTGTTGTTGTTGGAGCTTGGCGGCCCTCTGCAAGTGGTCGAGGTTGTCTCGTGCATCGCCTGCCATGGCCTTGATTCTGTTCTTACCGTAGCTAAAACGTCCACCGCCATGAATTGGTTTGTAAAAAACTGGTATCGCACATTTTTGGTTTTTGCAGATGGCATTGGGAGAAAAAAGGCTGAAATTTGCTATGGCCTGAGACATTTTTGTATCTCTCAAATGTTGGGCTTTTGTTGTAGGGTACTGTTTGGTAGACAAGAAAATCGAGCCACAAAGTGAAGGACAATGGAATTTGAGGAGAAACGAACTAGGTTGTCCTATATTTAAAGGAAAGCGTAGACCTTTCTGGAAGAAGAAACGAAGGAAGAAGACGAGAGTTTCAGAACCTGACACTGACAGTTCTGGAAAGCTCCAGAAAGGAGAAACCTCACCTGGATAAGGAAAAATCTGAGATACTCGGTGGCAAATTCGCACGACGTCGTTTTGGTCAATTGGCATTTCGGCATTTACAGTTTTTGAAATTTACACTACTCGCGGGAACCTCATTCTGATAAGATATAATCAAATTTCTTTAGTTTGTTGAAAGAACAGTGTTTGCAAATTTCCCACAAAAAATTGCTTAGTTATTTATGGATGAAGCATCAGATGAAAACAACACCCACCTCCATAATTACTAATTAGATTATAATTTGTTTGTGATTAATGTTGTTAATTAGACTACATTTGTTGATCACATTATTGACCACTTCTCTAATACATGTCATTATGTAAGTCTCATGTATATACGTGGGTACTCTCTATTTTGAGAAGTGATTAGTAAATGTGATACAAATAACATTATTATTATAAACCAACATGCATATGAAAGGAAAATATATACTTGCATCCATTGCATGGAAGGGTTCGTCCTTTGCGATTAGCGTGTTTTCATTGGGCAAATTTCATGATCATAATCATTTAAAGTCATATTTAGAAAAAACCAACCAAACTAAAAATCACTTAGTTATTTATATGTATCACATAAATGGATTGTTTACATGGTACAAATATTTTTATTTATTTGATACATATAAGTGATTAAGCGATATATGGTTTGATTTACATTTGTAGCGGTGATTTTAATAATAATTAAGAAAATGAACTCTTGAGGTTATGAAGTTTATACAATAAATATATGCTTATAGCAAGAGATGGACAAAGTGGTGCGCTCCATGGATGGTCCCAAGTTCCAACTCCCAAACGAAATTATAAAAAATAAATACAAATGAAAGAATATTATTTTAATTTTGTCAAAAAGAAAAAAAGAGTTGGCTCCAATTTTAGGATGTTACTTCAATGCTATGTAGTTAGTGTTACGAATATTTTAGTTGTTAAATTTGATTTCCACAACTATTAAATCTTCTATTTTTAATTTTAACCATTCATTTTTCATACTACTCAATAATACGTACCACATTAAAGAAAATTGCAGGGTTGTTTCTATCGTTTGTCTACATAAGCTAATATTAAATTGTTAAATTCTCTCCATAAAAAAATTTGAGAAATGTTTGCCATAAATAAAAATGGTCAACAAAAAAGGAAATAGACGTTGGAAATAAAGCTTTAATTTTCAAATTAATGGGTCCCGAGTCACACTCCAATACAAATAAAGGTTGTTGCTTTCATATGAACGTTGAGGTGTTGATCCAATTTAGTGAAAAATTAATAAATAAAATTTCCAAGAAAACAAAATAGGAGAGACATCTCCATCCAAGAAAATCAACAAGAAACTATAAACCCAAACTCTAAAGGCAAACAAAAACTCACACTCCCTTCCCCTCCCTCTCTATAAACCTTTCTTTTTCTGCACATTTTATTGGGGTATAAACTGTAAAACCAAACATGGAATGGACCCAATAAGGCGTTTTTCTTGAATTCTAAATCACAATTCAAATTTCTAGCCATATTTTAAACTACCCCAATAGAGGAGAAGGCAAGAACACTGAAATGGGTGAATCGGCCTACCTGACGAGATCATTCTCCGACCCTACTGAAGTCAAAGAGGTCAGTCGTCCTTCCGCAGAATTTTCCATTTCTTTGATTCTTAAAGTTTATCGATTCATGGGTTTTTCTTGTTTTCTCTATATCTTTGATGGGTCTTGATTCGATTGGTTTGTTTTAATCGCACTGCGGTTTGTTTGGCTGCTGAGAAATCGTGGGAAATTTTGAGAACTTGGGCCAGATTGGTGTGGATTTTTGTTATTTTTAGGGGATGAAGTGCGCGCGTAGTGTTGTAGTTTAGGCGGTTTTTCAATGGATGCATTCAGTTCTTGGTTTCGTTCAGTTTGTTAGAGAGAGAGAGAGAGAGAGAGAGAGTTTCATGGTGGTTTAAATGATATGTGTTTCTCTCTAGTTCTTGTTGGATTATTGAATTTAGTGTTTGGATGGACTTGTATGATTTGGTTACGTTTTTACGAGTAGGATTTTGGAATTCACTGAGGAAATTGTGATGTGCTTTTCATTGCAGGGTGACCCCCTTCGTTGCCTAGGAGAATCGATCTCCTTTGGTAGGTATATGTCAGAACCTCTCTCTTGGGAGAAATGGTCTGCGTTTTCCCACAATCGCTACTTAGAAGAAGTCGAGAAGTTCTCTAAGCCCGGCTCTGTTGCTCAGAAGAAAGCTTATTTTGAAGCTCACTACAAGAAAAAAGCTGCTGAGAAAGCAGCAGCCTTGCTTGAGCTGACAAATGCTGGTGCCTGTAATGTTACAGCGTCATCAGTAAATATGTACGCAAATTACGAGAGCCCCTCCATGGACATAAACTCGGCGAATGGTGGGAACCAGATGGTCGTTGATAAAGAACAGGAAAATGTTGTTCCAAATTCGAGGTAGAAGTATACTCAGCTGATGTGAATGGCCATAATCAAAGTGTTGAAGGGAATCAACTGGATACCGCCAAGGTGGCCAGAGCAGAGGCGGTAATTCAAGAAAGTGTTAATTTGGAAATATCTATTCACGCTGAAATCTTGAACCGGTTTGAAAATGGCAAAGACCAAAATGAGATTGTTGCCACCCTAGAAGAGAAGATGCCAAATAAGGTAATTGTTGGGTTTTGCCCTGTTTGGACTCTTGTAAGTTGTAATTGCTTGATCACTTTTTCTCACCACACAAACTGTTGTCATCTCACAGATCCTCCAGGAAGCTGCCGGTGAGGAGAATCTTGCTTCAGCGAGCAAGAAAAGATTGATGAACTCTTCCCCAAGGTTATCCACTAAAGGTAGACCACCCAAGGTACCATCGCCTCCTGCCAAACAAGCAACTCGTGTGCAAACCATAAACGGGAAAAATGCCACTCAAATGGGTAAGAAGGTTTCATCAGACTTAGGTTGACAAGAGGAGTTTAAATGCAAAATCTCTCCACATGTCAAAGCATTTCACTTCTCATGGTGGTGAAAGTGAAATCAGTAAAAGAACTTCGCCAATTGTTGAGAAGACTAGAGATTCGAGAAGTAGTACAACTACACTTATTATCTCCATGAATAATCCAGCTTCTCGAAGAACTGCTATTAGGGTACGAGTTCTTACCATTTAATGTTATTCTTTATTCTTCATTCATTTGATTTCTGTGTCTAATGCGACACCTCTAATAAGAATATTCTTTTGCCAACTTAAGGCATCTGTTAGCGGGGTATTGATGCAGTCTTCAGTTGACCCATGGTCCAAAGATAGAAGGTATTCTGCATTGTACTTCACATGTTCACGAAATGTCTCAGTCCATTGCATACTCCCTCACCATTTCTGCTATTTATACATGCATTGAGTACTCTAACTTATGTGATCGATTACATTATTTCCAGGGCGAAAACATTACTTAATAAATCGGTAGCTGGACCAATTGCAAATGGGAAGTGGATATCCTCCTCAAAAGAGTAAGAACTTTGCTACTGACATGCCTATGAATTTTTCTTCATGTTCATTTCATCTTTTATTATATCTATGCTCTGGGGTGCTTACCTAAAATTGGCGTTATTCTATTTTTAACTTTGTTTTTTTTTCAGGAACTGATAACTCTTTTTCTGTTAATTTTAGATTTACTTAACAACAAACTCTACGAACCTTTATTCGTATAATGTTCTAGATTGTATTCTGATTGGACTAAAATGGTTAGTGTACTAGATTTCAAAGGGACTACCAACATTTTCATAAACTTATGATTACGCTTTTCTGTTTGGCAGCGAATCTTCTACTGCAAATGGAAGTAAACCACGACCCCCTATTGTATCCTGTCCTTTTAGATTGAAGAGTGAAGAAAGAGCAGAAAAGCGTAGAGAGGCAAGAATCGATATTATATTTTTAGTTCCCTCGTTATCGTGCCATGCTTCATTAAATATTTAGGGTTTCTTTGCTAAGAGAAAAGTCTCTTCTTTTGCTGCACCAGTTCTACAAGAGTCTGGAAGAGAAGAAAAATGCCAAGGAGGCTGAACGTGACCTGGTGCAACTGAAATCTAATAAAAAGGTTAGTTTCTTATGAAAATAATGGTAAGGGGTTTCTTCTTTTTCGAGTTTTGCAATGCGAGTTGAATTCTGTAACGTTTCATTTACTTTTATCTTTATCAAACCATTTGAAAGTTTACATAAAAGAAAGAAAATTGTATGCAGGAAAAAGCAGTGGGGGATGTTAATAAACTGCACCACAGCACTGCCTTAAAAGCGAAACTAAACCAAGATCTGTCATCGGCATCGCAATTTCCAAGTGATCACTTGAACAAGGTATACACATTTTCTTCCAAACTTTGTATTTGTATTAGAGCATGCAGTGAGGGCTTTCAATAGTATTTGGAAAGTTTCTACTGCAATAACCCTTCCATTTTATCCCTCTAATGTATGTTCTTTTATTAACGGCGGACATATATTTCTTACACATTCCTCTGCTACAGTCTCGGTCACCAAAACTTGGGAGGCACTCTACTGTCTGCAAGGTTCTGGACTCAAGCTCTCGACCATCGGTCAATTCTCATGGCTCCAAGTACGTCACACAAAAATCTAATGTGAGCACAAATCGAACGGTGCCTCCTCATTCAAAGAAGAATGCTCACGAAAATTATCCTCCCAATATCCAGAGTTGAGGGTGTCTAGCGCATGATTATGCATGGAGATTGATTGACTCAGCCGGTTGACACCCTCTGATCAAAAAGAAAAAGGAAAGGCCGGTTACTGCCCAGAAGAGCTGCAACTACTTTCTGTAATACGAAATATGGGGTAAGAAAATAAGTATGCGAGGATAGTTTGGTTTCCTTTCGGGGAGGGGGGGGGGGGGGGGCATTCTGTTGAGGTCTTTCAGTTAGAAGTGAAATTTTGTAGGGTTTATCTTTCATTTTTGACTCAGTTGTTAGTTTCATATGCTTTTCGTTTCATAACTTGCGAGGAGAGAACGATGAGTTTTATGCAGAGGTACAGACTCGACAAGAAAACCATTCTGGCATAGAGACAAGAAATCTAGTGCACATCTCATCAAATTTAAACAAGAAAGCTTATTATGCTAGGGTTTTGCATCACTCATATTGTACACATTTCGACATTCAAATCCAAACCGGTCAGAGATATAATATCCAGATTCATTAAGTTGGGGTACTCAACTTATATTGGCTTACCAAAACGGAAAAGGCTATAGATCATTCTTCGTTGAATTGCGCAAAAGAATAGTGCCAGCGCAGGGGCATATCACGATATGAATGGACCTTGATCTATGACAGAATATTCTGATGGGTCACGTCACATGGATAATCAAATCTCAGTGCATCGTACAAGTGAGCAGGAACATCAGAAATAAGTGCAGGATCATTGTACTCCGGGAACTCTATGTTTTGAAGTCCGAGATTCATGCCATAGCAATCACCTTGAAACCAACAAATTTGAAAGTCGTCATCCAAAGAAGCAAAAGGTGATGCACTTCCCACGATTAGGTTCTTTGGGCAGATTCCAAATCAGTAATGCTACTCAAGTTGAAGCCCTGGTTCTTCATGTTTGATGTACTAGTGGAAATGGACTCAGAAACTTGATGGTTTACAACACAGCTCTTGATTTGATCAGGAAAGGAGTCTGCCGTGCTTATTGTTGGACTTACATGGCTACCCTGATTATTTATGTACTCAGAGTACGAAGGCTTACTCTTAGCAGGGCCAGTTACATCTCCCTCCGCGATAGAAGGTCTTGGACTAATGGAAGGAATTGATTGTAGTCGATCACCTTGGAAATGGCTGTGTGGACCGGGCAGTGGTGGCTTGTTGAATCCACTGTTTAACTGAATAAGTGGCTTCTGCTCTTTTTTCAATTGAATTTCATTCCAAGAATACTTTGTCCGGATAGTGGATTCAAATTCTGTGAAGTTTACTTCAGATTCTACTGATGTAAATGAATGACTGGGGCGCACCTGCGGAGTCCTAATCTTCTGAGAATCAGGAATATTGCCATTCAAAACGTTTTTGGTTTCTGCATAAGAATTATTGAAGTCCAGTGGTGAACTCCTGATCTTCTGCGAATCAGGAACATTTCCAATCACACCGTTTTTGGGTTCTACACAAGAATTATTGAAGTCCACCATCTGTAAACTCCTGGTCTTTTGAGAATCAGGAATATTTCCGTTCGAACCTTTCTTAATTTCTGCTACAGGCTCTGAAACAATCCCCTTTGCATCACCCTCGTGGCTCTTCGGATCCACACACTGAGCAACTGAGTTATTGCCAGAAACTCTGAAGCTGCCATATGCAAAATCATTTTGTTGAATGCTGATCGAGTTCTGAAGGCCAAAACTTCCTTGAGCATCTTTTGAGGGAGAATCGGAATGCTTCATCCCACCAAAACAAGATTTAAGGTCATTTTCTTTTTGCAGCCTACCCAAGTAGAGCCGGTACTTCTGCACAGGAACTTTCTCAGTGAGAATACCCATGCAATGTAACCATACTATGTATTACACTTTAGCTTTTATTACCCCTTTTGTTACAAGAGAGACTGAGTTCCATTACTTCATTGATAAGAAGATAGTGATCTACTAATTTCAAATAGCGATCTACTACTTTCTTCGTACGTATTTTAAGTTTGACTAATCAGACTGAGATCAAAGAAATGGGAGCAATGTGTGTTGTCACTATACTTGTGTGTGTGTGTGCGCGCGCGTGTGTGTGTGTTCGCGTCTACATATTAATATATTATATACATATGTATGCATATTATTGCACAAGGAAATTATCGATCGCAAGGTATTCTGGGTACCAAGTTACCATAATGAGAGTATTGCGGTGTACAAATCCTACTAGGTAAGTGTTTCAGATGTTATCAGGAAAACTAAACAGTGAGGTATTTACCTGCAAGTGGCTAGCAACATTTTCTCTTGTCAACCAAGGCACGTTCATCAGGTCCAGTATTTTCTTCGGACCAACTTCTGCCAAACAGACATTACACATCATCGCTCTGAAGAAACATACTAAAGTTGGTGGCGATATTATTGAAAAGCAGCACAAAATGTATTCAGACTTATGGTTCATGATGCTGATCCAAAAACCTAGCTTCATAAGCAAGGAATTTACTTACTGTCAAATCCAATCTGATGTACTGCTTTTACAAATTTCTGATGAAGATCTACAGACCAAACAACTCTAGCTTTTTTTGTCGACGAACAATCAGCAAAGTCTTTGTCATCGTATTTGTTATCGACATCCTTTCTTTTTCTCGATGAAGTGAGGTCATCTGCGCCAAGAAAGTATCCCTCGTCATACTGATCTGATCCACTTCTCATAAGCTGAATACCTTCGACGCTTTCATGACTCTCAATGTCTTTTATCTCATGTATCTTCTTTCTAAAGACATGCTGCCATATATTACGTAGTTCTTTCATTCTTATCGGCTTCAGAAGATAATCACACGCTCCATGTTGAACTCCTTTCATAACCCTACTCGTTTCTCCATCAACAGACATCACTGCACAAGTAAAATGGATATGATAAGTCAGAAATTAAGTGGTGACAGACATTTTTCTTTTGAAGACAAAGCTTTCTTGGTCAATGGCGGAGTACTGACTAATAACTGGAAGATCCATCTCAAGTCCTACATGCTCGAGAAGTTTAAAACCATCCATGTCGGGCATGTTCACATCACTGATTACAATGTCATATCCATTTTTCTTTTCACGAAGCAAGCATAAAGCTTCTCTTGCCAAACCACATGTAGTCACTGAAACACAGACAAAAGAGGGAGAAAAATTCCATCAGAAATAATGAAAAATTTGGCTGATTATATTTTCAAACTGATCAAAGCATCCTGTCTAACAGTCGGAAAAAAAAATCCTGTAACACAGACGGAATTCATGTTCTAAGTTTTTAAGGACTGCATTATGAATGGAAGCCTTCTCTATCTTGTTTAGATCATGTATAAGTAATCATACATAAGAATCTCCCCCAACATAATCAAAGTAACTACTGTAAAGCTATGCATCTTGAGCAGTGACTGTAAGACTGCTTCAGTTCCACATATGAAGTACCACAAAAATTTGATTGAGCAAGGATCATAAAGTATGTTAAGGTATTACAAAGACAAAGAGATTGCTAGAAGGGTCTTTGATTAGCGTAGTTGAAACAAACATCGAAAGGAAAATGCACTACATGGCACTTAAACCCAGAAATCCAAGCATGACAGCTAGATTTGGACAGTATTTAACTGCAGCAAGTTGTCCATACAACTGATCAGAGTAATAATTCTACAAGTCCACTACCAGAGGCACCAAAGAACACTCCAGTTGTCTGAAATTGATCAACTTTACGCACTTATATTCGATAGAATAATAAATAATTAGAATTTGATTAAATTAACTAATAAAGGAAGCAGTACACTTTGTTCCCAATTGCACTGTTATCACATTATCCTCCTGCATAGCAGCCTGTAAAGACAATCAAATACTCAATCTCAACTAAACCCTGATCATCCTGCTAATCCATTTACTTAAATCGAAAATTCGACAACTAAATTGCTGCTTCTGGGGAGATTAAAAATCCTTGCTTTTAACAAACCCAGTTGTTCAAATTACCAAATAAGATCGAAATTTCACTGATAAGTAAGAACCCACCAAAACTAAACCACAACTAAAGAAACCCATCTCAAAAACACCAAAAACATTCAGAAATACCATGAATTTCCAGGAAAAAAGTAGAGGAAAAAAAGTGTGAAACTTGGAACTTTAAAGAATGATTGAAATAGAGGAACAGTGGGAAAACTGAGATAGAGTGAATTAACCTTCGTAGGAGCACTTCTTGAGCATCTTTTCTAAGATCTTAAGCCAAGTGGGATCGTCGTCGACGACGAGGACCCGGAGCCCAGCCGGAAACGAATCGTTCCGGGGAGAAGAGAAGCTACTATCCATTGGGAAAAAGTTAAAGGAAGGAGGAAGAGTTAAGATTAACGTGGGAGGGGAGCAGAGTGGGGACTTACAGCTCCAATCAGACCATATAGCTTAGGAATGTCTCCAAATTTAAAAAATGGCTTTCTTTGGATTTTATGGCAATGTTTTTTAGAGAGAGAGTGAGAGAGATAGAGAGGAACCAACGAATATTTGGCGCCGGATGGCTTAACAGTCACTGTGGTTCACGTTAGTTTCTAATCATTTTTTTCTTGGATTGGCAAAATACATATTTAGAGAAATGTGCAAATAGAATGAGTTGCAAAATTTTTTAGTCAAAAAAAAATTAAATAATAATTCTCTCTACAAATAAAATTAATTATAAACTTTTAATTATCAATAGAATTCGAGGAACATTAAACAGGTGCTGATCTGTGGTTTATATATTGTTTATTTTTCATTTAGTGTTTCTCAATAGAACACGTGACAAAGTTTTAATCATATAAAATCGAAGGACACTAAGCAATAAAGTATACTTCATCAATCGTCTATTGTTTGCTTAGTGTCTACAGTTGTATTTTTTTAATATGGCTAAAAATATATGCTTGGGTTATATGATTAAAAGGAATAAAAGATAAACAAGTTTTACCATTGGTATCCAAAAAGAATATGGGAAAGAAAAGTATGGTAACTATGAAAAATTGGGGGTAGAATCTTAGGTTAACCAGATAAAAGAAGTAGAATCTAAAGGTGGGAGTGTATATGCTTTGTGAAAGAATGATTGAATGAACAAGGGCA